GCTTGCTTGACGACGTCGACGTCGCTGTCCTTGCCGGGCGCACGCTGGACGCTGCATTGCCGGTGCTGGAGGAATTGGAGAGCTCATCATTGTATGGGACGTAATCATCTAATCTGAGCGTGTCGGCGAGCCGTGAATACGCGCAAACATGGCGGTAAAAATGGCAGTTATCTATCTACGCGCTTTAACGCGCGTAAAAACATGTACGTAAAAATGGAGTCGTAAACGTAATTACGTCGTCGTTATAACGACCAAGCCTGGCTGTCACTATTTGCAATACCCAGCAGGCAACACCGCCACCGCAGAAACGCCTCACAAAGTAAGGACGACATCGCATGGCGCTTCGGAAACTACCTAGCACGTATGGGGTTAGTCACCCTCAGTGGAAAGTTGTTAAACTAATCGCTTACTCCCGAAAGATCGCCTTGCCGTTGTAGCACCGAATGTGCGCAATTGGCGTCCCCTCTTGAAGAGAATGCCACGATCTTTACTGTTCAATAGGCCTCCTTTATGGCTGCCGCTTACCCGGGTGCGCACATTCCAAGGTGAGTGTTCTTGCCCAGCTGCTTGCACACAATTGTGGCGCTAGCGCTCTGGACCCTCCTCCTGAAAAGTGGATAGCAATTGTGAATGAAGCAAATAATTGACGAAAAATGTAACAACTGCAATATCGCAAATCCCTCTCATGCAGATTTGTCGTGTTTCCCCTGGTCACGGTGCTTCGTCAACCCCCCAACGACAAGCCGAATCAATCCTCGATCTGTCATCGAATACCGGACTGGTGCCTGCCCTACAATCGCTTTTACAGTGCTGCAAAAGTAGAAAATCGGCAAAAAAATTCGTTGTGGAACTATAAAAATGGATTTTGCGCAAAACTCGATTTTATATGACAGCGACTAGTCGCGTTGTTACAACTGTTCCCCTCGAGATGGGACCCTCGCCTGGGCATGATTCATTCATAACAAATCGCGTCAAGCCCACGCTTTGATTTCAAGCCACTGGCGGCCCAAAGCTTCTGGAGGAGCTGGCAACATCTTGCCCTACCCTGGGTAACACTAGGGTAACACAAGGCAACACCTTGCCCTGCCATACACTGGTAGAAAACGCCATGTTTGCGATGTCAGCTGTGATGCCATTTTGACACAAATTGATGCCTTCACAGTGAGTGCGATGGCATAAAAGGGGCTGTGATGGCATCAGTTTGTGTCAAAATGGCATCGCAGCTGGCATCGCAAACAGGCTGTTTTCTACTGGTGATAGTGCATCGGACGGTCACAAACTGTGGAGCACGTTTACCTCGTCCGGCCGCCCCTCCCACCCCGCCGCAGGCACGCGCGCGTGTTTGTGCCCGGGCCGCAACGGACGGAGCAGCCGCAGCCATCCCGCCGACGTTGGGGGCAGCAACCAACCACGCGCGGGCCGCACGGCCCAACGGGCCGAACAAACGTGAAGGGGTCCCCTCACACTGCGAGTGTCGTATAGCATGACAAGAGAACGACGTGCCGTAGACACAGGGGGCGCCCTCCTAACGCGGCATCACGCATTGTGAGGCAGCACGCTGAGCGACCCTGCGCCTGATGGGGGCGCACTGAAGGCGGGGCATGCACAATTGCAAGTTACGTAAATTTGATTGGCCGCGGCGCCCGGCGTCCACCCCCGTCCCCTCCTCTTCGCGGCGCTGCCCTGTTCGGCTTGGCCACTCCACTCGGCGCGCAGGCGTGTGGCGGACAAGCGACAAGCTTGGCTTAGGAGGCGGCGTACTGCTGTGGCCGAGCGAGGTGCGAACGTTTAGCCGGGTGCATGGCATTGGCGGGTGTGGGGCGCTCAAGCTTTGTTCCCGGGATCGCGCGGTGCTGCTCGAGGCAGGAGGGGGGTCTGGCGCCCAGACCGGAGGGCCGGCCCTCGGGGTTCAGCTCCGACCGCAGCACTGTGTGCGCTCATGCGCGTCGGAACCGGGGAGGAAGGGGATGTCGTGTCTGTGGCGGGTGGCGCGTGCCAGCGCCGTTGCCTTGAGGCATGGCCTTTCGGACAATCCGGTGGTTTCCGACCTCCCAGTGCATCGCCTGCCGCGCTGTGAATGGGTTTGAGGGGTTCGGGGTGGGGTGGTGGTGGAGGGTGGTGAGGCGCGTGGCGTCGATCGAGGTGTTTAGGTCCCGGGGGCAGCGTTTTTGATTGTGCGCGGGGGCGAAGTGCGCATCATCGCTGCAGAGGGCACGATGCGGATCAGCAGTGGCTGGCAATCGCGACCAATCCGCGCGGGACCTGCGGCGTAACGCGTTCCGGCGCAGGAATTTGCTGCGTAGGAGTGGTGGGTGGGATGGGTGGGCGCAACCGGCAGGATTGGGTCTCGAAGGCAGCTGCTTGCGCATCTGGCATCGGGCGGGCGACCGACCGCGCGCACGGCGGCGCCAAGTGCGCTTGTTGCTTCTGGTAGGCCGCGGGGTCGTTTCCTCGCCCAGCACTGTCGACGTCGACAGTGCCCGTCGACGGACACACAATGCTCTTACCAGAGGTGTGTGCCGCAGCACCCGCCGGCCCTCCCAGTTGGGAGGGCTGGCTGCGAAGCTAGCTGGCACAGAACGACACGCCCAATGTTTCAGAATGGCTTGGCACCATTGTGCCCCGATTTGCAAGAGAGCATGCGCCTGCCGCCCGCATCCCCTCGCCCACCCCCCACACCAGCGAATACCCACCGCCTGATAATGGAGTCAAGCGAACGGACAGAGATACATAAAATTGGAAAGTTCCTGTACCTGTTGCGGCACAATGACGCTGTTGGCCGCCAATGACATCCAGGGAGAGCTGCCGTTATGCACGGCGACCAGAACATTGCTGCACTCTAGCGCAGGCTTGTGTTTTCAACGTTTACGTTTACGTTTACGTTTACGTTTACGTTTACGTTTACGTTTACGTTTATGTTTACATTTACGTTTACGTTTTTTCGTTTACGTTTACGCGTCAAAGCGCAAAATTTGCCAAAAATTCTATTTTTACTGCCATTTTTACGTTTTTACGACACCCAGGTTACACAATGAAAGCCGCGTACAATGATCAGTCTTCCGCCATCTCCAGCACCCGCAATACAATGACCACCTCGCCCCTGGCAAGGGCGACGACGGCGTGTAACAAAAGCTTGATTTTTGCCCCTTTCAGTGTGTCTGGCTGCCACTCCCCGGACTCTGTAAGTCTGCATGTACTGTCCATATGTTCACGGGGTTGTATTTACATTATGCTTACGTATTTTTTGCACATTTTTACGCATAAAAACATAAAAATTATTATCAGGCGTAAAAACGTAAATACGGTCAGTTTCTATGGCGCAAAAACCAAGGCTGCTCTAGCGAGAATGTGCATGTTCATAGGGGCGCTCGCTTTCCCTGTCATCCACAGTGACTGATTAAATCTCATGCAAACGAGGGCAACCGCGCACGGGTCCCAGTTCGCGAGGTGACACTGCAAAGACGGCATGCAAGCTGACAGGTACTGTCAGCGACGCCCCCCTCCAACTGGTCCTGTGCGTATCGATAGCAGGGGCCACCCAGCGTATAGGTATCGATACTGATACCACCACACTGCACCCCGGCTTACGGCCCACCGGGAAGGGGTGCAGGGCACGGGTGCTCATCCATGGCCCTGATGGTATGCGGCACTCCCACTTGCAGTGCAGTCAGGACGGTACTGCGGGCGCGATTTACTCCTCCAACCAAGTCACCGCCGTACTTCAAATTTTACTATGAAGTACGTGTACGGTCGTACGGCGGTGTGATGGGCATGGAGGCGGGCTGGGCTGGATAGCGGGCTGCCCCTGCACTCCGCTACCAGGCTGATTGAACGGCGAGCTCGCCAGCAGACATGCGTGCCTGCGCCATCAGATGCTCTTTCACACTGCGGCAGTGTGGACCTCAAACACCACGCCGGCTGAATTTCAGATTGTGAATTGCCAATCCACGGGGCTGCCGGTACTTGACGCTCATACCGCCTTGTGGCAGCACAGCCCACCACGGCGCTGAACCTCTTCACGCTGGATTCGCCCACCGGATTGACTGCGCGTGTCGGGCCAACCACCAACGGCCCAGAGTGAGGGGGGCACCGTGTACTGGCAGGATGTCCCCGTGTGCGGTGCACACGCGGTGCATGCGTTCCGGCCCTCATGCCCCAGTATCGCTGCCCCCGGCCTTGAGTAACGTGGTACCTTCCCCTCCTGTACGTGCGACCCTGCGACCGCTCAAAGTCATACGTGCCCCAACCCTTCTCAACACACAGGGGCGCCCGAGTACAGTGCGCCGCGTAGTCACGCGCTGTCTGGTCGTGTGACCGGGATCTGTCGCGTGCGCCTCTTCCCACTTCGGAATACTCTTCGCATCCTCGTACAGTCCAAGCCGGGTGACTGAGCCCCCTTGCAGGGTTGATGCCCCCACATTGGCGCGCAGTACCGCGGCGTCGACTGGCAGCCGCAGGGCCCTTGTCAAAGCGCCGAACCGCCAGGGTCGCCGCACCCAAATACCCCCCACCCGCCCCCACGCACCCTCGTGGCGCGCCCGCCCCCACCCCCTCACCCCGCCCCCACCGCCTCGGCTGTAGCAGGAGACCCGCGGGAGGATCGCAGCCCCAAGGTGGGCTGTACTTTCGGTGAGATGCGGTGACGGGCACATGCCCTCCCGGGCGATTAGTGTGCGCGAAACTGGGCGAGCAGCTGGCCCTCCCGACCCCCTTCTCTTGATCACGCCGCCGCCGCCACCAAGGTCGAGCTCCCGAGGCCCCCCCCCCGCGCCCTCCCTTCGTGGCGATTCACTCTTGTGGTGTTTTGCCGCAGGGTCCATTGAGAAGGCCCCGGATCGGGGCGGGCGGCGCGTTGAGGATCCCCGCGGTCGCGGCAGCCCCCCGCATCTTTCGAGGGCTCCCGGGGCGATCGGCAGCCGATCGACAGCGCGCCGGGCGCCGGTGGGCCAACTGCGGTGGGCGTGCGAGCGTCGGCAAGGGGGTGGCGGCAGGGAGCCGGGATGAGCGGCTGGGACGGCCAGGGAGGCGCGGGGGGGGCCCCCTTGGACCCCCCCGTGCCGGGGGCTGCCGAGGCGGGCGGAAATTTCCGCGGCGGCGCAGTTTTCAGCCCACAGTCGGACATGACGGAGGCCGCCCGCGGGCAGCTGGGCGGTGCATTCCCGGCGTCTGGCACGTGGGGGCAGGGAGAATTTGGCACTGGGGCGGGGGCCGATCTGCTGCTGTCCAGGATGCTCATGAATCCGATCTCGGAGTGCGCTGGGGGGAGCGGCCTTGTGGGGGCTTGGGATTCGAAATCGGTGGGCAGGGGGGGGGGTTGTGGGCGGCCAGGGCGGAGGGCTTGATCTGCAGAGGCGCATGGATCTGGACGGGCTAGATTCGGGCTCGAACTCCATCCTTGGGGGCCAGACGGGAGGATTTGGAGGCATTGGTGGCGGCCTGGAGGCGCTGGCGGGGAGAAGCGAGGGCGAGCACGACGCGGTGTCCAGGGCGCTCATGGAATTCGTGGCGTCGGAGGGAGCGGGCCCAGGTGGCCCGGAGGCAGAGGAGGAAGGTGGGCGAGGGGCGCGGGGGACGCGGGGGCGCTCGTGGCGCTGTTCCCGGCTGGCGAAAGGGCCACTGCGGGACGGGAAAGTCCACGAACGGCCTTTTTGAACATCCTTTTCCATGGGCCAGCAGCAACTAACATACAGACATGCCTTTGTCACCATTTGGTCAGCACGAAGCATGCACCCGGCGTGATTGGGCGCGGCGACGGTGATTTCGGCCATCAAGCCCCCATGGCGCATGAGCGGCCCCTTCGCACGCGTATTGACATGGGCCGTCTGGCGCCTGTCCCTCTCCGCCCGCCCGCCTCGCCTCGCAACCGACGCACAGTCGATGTTGCAGCACACGCGAAGTGACATCAGGGCGCCCAATCTTCGGACAGCGCCCCGATGTACTGGGATGCCCTCTTTTTCGTGTGGGGCTCGACTCCGGCGGTACGCGCGTTCCCCCGCCCGACCGCCTTCGGGCCAATACCGGCCCGTACTTGCGCCCTGTACTTGAACCCCTGTATCTCCCACTTGTATTTGTGGCCCGCGCCCAACGGCACATGCACATCCGTACCGCGCACATTGTCACCCGGGGTTGAAAGGATAGTGAATGAGCGCGTGAGGGGCCATTCGAGCACTTGTGGCAGTGAGCGCTCTCGACGACCCTCGGCCGGTTCCATGGACGCATTAGCACCCCCGGCGGCCGCGAGCTGCGAGCCAGACTCCTGGCAACGGGCCGCGTTCGGGCCGGGCCAGGCGCCCAGCCATTCTGCGCCCCTGGCGCAGCCGTGCGGCTACCCCGGCGACTGCCTGGACGCGGCGATGGAAATCTGCGCTGCCTCCCGGGATTGTGACATCGTCATGCTGCAGGCGCCGGGCAACTCAGAGGCCCTGGGCGGCACGGCGACCGCGGCGCCGATTGATTCGCCCATCTGCTCCTCAGGTCCGTCGAGCGCGCTGGCGATCGGGTCGCGAATCCGTGCTGCGGCCAGCGGCGATGTGATTGCCGCAGCTACAACACGGCTATGAGTGCCCAACGTCGATGGCGCGAGGGGCATTGGGACGGAAGCGTGGGGCGCTGACCGCCTGCGGGCGCTTACTTTGTGGCGTGCGCGCTTTGATCGGCGAAGCACACTCAGGTCGATGATTTTCCCTGTGAAACCCTGCCGAACGTTCCGCATGTCGTCAGGCCCGCTTGTCTCATGCTGCGAGTCGTTGAGCCCAGCTCGCGCATCCAAGGTACCGTGTATCCGATGTCGCTGTGGATCCCAAACCAGCTTCGGGGTTGGGATGGGCCCCGCGCCCGTCCATGCCACCCGGCCGTGGGCTTCAGGCCGGCCTTGAATTCTTGATGATGCTTGCGACACGAGCCGTCGCCGCTCTCACACTGTCCCTCTTTTCGGCGCTTGTCCAGCTCGCGGTCGATTGCGGTCGCGCTCCGCTGGGGCCAGTGTCCCTGGCCGAGGGTCCTGTCCCTGTCGCGACCTGCGCCCGCAGCCGCCCCGTTGCGCCGTACGTGCGCCGAGCCCGCCCGGCTATCTCTTCCGGACAGCTGGCCGATATCGGATGCGGCCATGCTGACATTCTGATGACGATGAAGTTCCATTAGTTGCGCGTCGGTCACCGAGGGCCGTGTCTGACCCAACCGCACAGGAACGGCATGTCCGTTGTTTGCCCCAGTTTTCGGTGCTGACATGTTGGCTGCGCGGACGCGTGTCGAGTGCCGCGGAATCCGCGGAGCGTTTGAGAGCCACGAGGTTCCGCTGCAAGCAGATCAGCTCTGCAGTGGTCGAAACGGCGGCTTGTGGGCTGAGCGGAAATCCGTTGCAATTACACTTGCCAAAATCGTGGCAAAGCAGGCCCTGTCACCAAGCTGGCGATGTCGGGCTGATGTCGGGCTGAGTGTCAAGTCGAGTACCAAGCTCCGCATCAGGTATGCAGGTTAGGTGCGTGGCAGAATCGCTGCCAAGCACCCACAAAAAATAAGCGAAGCACAACAAAACAATGAACGAAACATGACATGACATTGACGAAAAGCATAAATGATGACATTACCATAACAGTGACGAAAACGATGACACTGACGAAAACATAAACGAAACATAATAAAAAGTTGAACGGAACATTAACTCTGCTTGTCCATTGCCTCGCCGTGCGTCATGGCACGCTTGCGGGAAACGCTCGCACGGCCGCTCACGCGAAATTCCCATGCGCGCAGGAGAGATCTGGCCGATCCCAATCTTCGGCGACCACGCCATGTGCGACTCCATGCCCCTCCTGGACCCCCTGGCCTGCCCGCGGTACGACCGCCCCGGCCTGACGCCCATCACCTGCCCGGCGGGCCTGGCCACCAGCGAGCGCAGCATCCAGCAGCCCTTCTCCGCGCGCTGCTTCACCAACCAGGCCCGGGCCCCCTGGCCCGACGTGCCGCCCGTCCAGAGGAACAGCAGCTCGGCGCCCAACCGGCGGGCCAAATCCTTCGGCTCCCCCGAGGCCATCGGTCTCTCCGACGCGGCCCTGGAACTGGGCCTGCCCGGCGGATCCATGCGGATCGACGGCATGGGCCCCGGGGAGCAGTGCCCTGACGCGTACTGGGCGCAGATGGAGCAGGACCTCGTGTCGCCGCGCGTCGCGGAGGGGGCATTGAGGAAACGGCCCAGTCCGTCGCTGAGCGGCGAGGGTGCGACGTCTTCACAGTCGTCGGGCACGCCGGTGGGCAGCCGAGTGCGGGGGACGATCCAGCAGGTGTACCTGAAGCGGCGGGGGTCTGCGCGCGGGAGGGGGGTTTCGAAGCGGACACCCGCGGGGGAGAGCGCAGCCGTGCAGCAGCCCAGCGTGGGGTCGTCGGAGGTGGACGGCGTGGCGGAGGGGTCGGTGCTGGCCGACGGCGGGCCCGAGGGCCAGGCGCTGGACTCGCCGCCGAAGGAGGCCAAGGCCGGGCGCGTGAGGGGCAAGGCGGCGCAGAAGACGTCGCAGTACAACGGGGTCAGCAAGCACAGGAGGAGCGGAAGGTGGGGGGGTGCTTGTGCTGCAGTGAGCGATTCAATGATGGTGTTTTTGTTTGGTTGCTTGGAGACGGCCGGCCGGCGCTACGCGCTACGGCGAGCAAATGGCTGCAGGCTGCCAGTTTCCCAAAGACAGAACTGATCTGTTTACCGACTGGTTGGCTGATTCGCTGAGCGCAAACAACAGACCAATTGCCTCACACTTGGCAAGCGTTGGCTTCTTTTGGCTTATTGTCTGGCTTAAACTGATTGCATCAAATCCAGCACTCTCAGCTGACGGTAGTCGCTGTCGGGTGCATGATGATATTCAACTTGCCACGTCCGCACGCTCATGGCATCCGATTATCCAGACGACAGATGTGAAACACTTACATGCAAAATGCGGCAAACCACTGCCCCTCGCGCTTTTCTGCCAATATCATTCTGAAACTGGTTCGCTGGCTGCTGTTGACCCCCAGGTGGGAGGCCCACATTTGGGTGAACGACTTCGGGCGCCAGATCTACCTCGGAGGCTTCGACGTCCCAGAAGACGCCGCGGCTGCGTACGACATGGTGGCCATCAAGAGCAAGGGGCTCAAGGCATCCACCAACTTTGACGTCGGCAGGTGTGAGTTAGGACAGGCCGCGGCATGCAAGAGCCCATAACCCGCAATCCTATCTGTCCTGGATCGCTCTATACTCTCTGTGTGTCAGGCGTCCACCATTGCAGCCTGGCGTCCTACGTATCGGAGCTCATTAGCCTGTGTGACACGCAGAAACTCAGTCACCGCCCCATGTGCATTGCGATGCTTGCCGCTCGGGCTGCTATTATTTATTCTCTCTGTCGGTTGTCAAATGTCCCGCGTCATCCGGCATTGATCCATAATGGCTGAACGACCCACGAATGAATGTCCAGCGATCCGTAATGTGTGAGTGACTCACACAGAGGCGAAATGCCATGGAGGAGGTTTCGCAAGACTCTCAGTACTGTGGGCCTTGGCAGCGCGCGGTTTTCCTTGTGGATGTGCATGACCCACTCCACCTTCTCTCTGCTTTCCAGGTACCTTCCACTGTGGGACTGGCTGCAGACCGTGACCCTCCCCGAGCTGGTTACGCACATGAGGCGGCGCAGCAAGGGCTTCTCAAGGGGCACCTCGAAGTACAGGGGCGTGACGCGCCATCCGACAGGTGCGTGACTGGGCGCCCACTAGAGTCATACGGTTTTCAGGATATAGTTTTTCGGCTCATTTGCGCTGATTTGGGTGTGGCGACAAACCATTGTACAGTTCTCCTTCGAGGTTATCATGTGATCTGTTTATTACCGTGTGCTCTGTTCACAGGGGAATTGAATTGGTAAAACTAGTTAATAGATTGGATTGACAAAATAACCGTGCTCACTTCACTTCAATTCAAAAAATTATTACGAAGAAAGTACGTGAAAGGCAAACGTGGTGCACAGCGCGTAGGGGACCAACGATTCATGGTTGAATATTCAACCATGAATCTGTTCCGTGACAGTTATTGGTTCTTCGCAAAGGGATAAGATCGGAGGGTAAAAGATTGAAGGGCACGTCCCACTGTTTTGCACTTCGGTGCCTTCGAAGCACAGGGGCTTGTTTTGCCCTACGGTTTCCGGCAAGCTCAATCCGAAGCTCGCAGAATCATTGTCCCTGTTCACACTCGGGCATGTGGGGCCTATTTTCACCCTTTAAATTGCCTGTCTCACAGGCCGATGGGAGTCCCGCATCGGCGTGCACGGCAGCCGCCACATCTACCTTGGTCTGTACCCGGAAGAAGAAGCCGCTGCGAAGCACTACGACCGGGCGCTGGTGCGCCTGAGGGGCGTCAGCGCCGCCACCAATTTCAGCCTTTCCGGATACGCGAACGAGCTGTCGGAGCACAAGTGGATGCAACAGGTGAGCTGCGGGCATCTGCACCATTGAAAAGATTGAACAAGACCACAACCGTCGACAATGCAGGACATAGTCGCACTCAATGCGATACGTACTAGCAATGCCTGCGCATATGCTAGTGTCAATACCTACTATGATAATAACTAATAATAGGAATTGAATGTACACGATTGAATACTGCATGCACATATGTGTGTATTGCGTATAGGCGTATATCTGTGTATTGTATATAATGCATAGTGCGAGCATTGCAATGCCCAATTTGCACCTGTTGGTGCGGTGTGAAACACGGAAGTAGCTATGTGGAATGGCGGATATTTTGCCAGCACCGGCAGTCCCCGCGCCTTTTTGGAAAATTCGCACAGATTTTTTGGATTTAATTACTCATACAGACAAATAATGAAGCAGTGACACTGGTGTCGTAAGATCAAATCGGAGTCGGCAACCATAGCTCCGTGCATGAATAGTGCATTGCCGACTGCTGTTTGATCTGCTGATTGATTGGCTGGTTGGCTAGCCGCGATGTTTCAAGATAAACAATCCGGCGATTATTTGGTTGACATATTGGGTACTTATCTCCCTGCGCTTTGAAACGAGCAAGTAAAAATCGGCGCAAATAAACGGTTTCCAACCGGGTAAAATTCATGTCAAATCGCGCCGAAACGTGTAAAAATCGTGTACACTCATTTGCTCGTTGCTACACGGTTTTGTCCATTTTTATACGATAAATGCACAAGTTGACGCAATTGTTGCGCGATGTTCAATCGTATTACATGGCGCACGGCCTTCAAAACCGTGTATTTTGGCCTGGTTTTGACTAATGTGAAAGATCATGTGCTGCATGTTGTCTTGATCCTCGGTGGCCTGTGCTGTGTAGCAGCTGGCGGCGGACCGCAAGGAGACTCTTGGGACCACGAAATACAACAAGTGGGTGAGGCATGGCGGCAAGGACGTGGCCATCTTCAACTGAAGGCAGACGCCGGCGGCGCGGCCTTACCCACGCGCACTCGTGAGTCCCCAAGAGCCAGAACTGACCCACGCGGCGTGGTCAAGCGCCCAAGCTCTTGGGCCAGGTGGCGCCAAACAGTATTGCGCAGGCCACCGAGGGAATGCGCCGCTTCCTCCTGGCGCATTCGAGGCTCAGAGGTGCCATAATGTACTGTAAATTTTCCAATGCTGCTCATAAATATTACGCAGTAGGGGCCTCTTTCATTCATTATTGCCGCAGTTCTCGCCATCGGGGCGGGCGGCCTTAGGTGACAGGCGGGATCGGTTGGCTAGGGCGGATACACTTGTTTTCTTTCACGCTTCGTGGTTAATACGTATTTTCGCAGATATAAAGGAGTCTGTACAGAAGGTGTGGCAACCGCTCTGCGACCATTGTTGCAGCAGGGCGTTGCTGTACGGGGTGAGGAGTGCTGGATGGTAACTAAGCATCAATTCATGCCGCAGTCCTGTGCACTGCGCGCTGGTGGCCGGGGTGGCGGGGATGCCATGCAGTGCGCCTGGGGGGTCGGGAAGGGAGGAGAGGGCGGTGGTGGCCCTTCCGTTCATTTTTGGCGGCCTTCTCGTTGCGCAACTTTTTGCGGCAAAACCTCGGTGGCGGCCACCCCTGATAATTTTGCCGAAAAGGGGGCAGCGCGGTGCACATAGGGCCCGGAGGGGGGTCTGCATCTTTTGGTCGTTGTCGAATATTCGCGTGTGGCGTTGTCGAAGAAAGTAGGCTGAGATGGAGCTTCGGCATAGTTGTGAAAAAGGTTTGAAAAGGCGATTGCGACGTCCAGCAGCTGTCTCGGAGCGGCATCCGAAGTGGGAAGGGCTATAGCCCGACTTGGGGCATGCAGAATTGCCCGGCTGCGTCGCTGGTGGCAAGGCGTTGTTGCACTGGCGAAGGAGTAAATGTGACAGGAACACACCCTGCCGGCGGTTTGCTCCAGCTTCGGGAATTAGCGAGGATACGGGCGCTGGGCTCAAACGAAGAGTGATGTCATCGCCGACAAACAGAGTTTGCATTTAATGAAGGCGACAGCGAGTGGGTAGGGAGGGGGATGGCTGTAGAGTTGGACACGTTGTGACGCCTAGGGGGCATGTATTTTTCTGGCAAATGGCATGGGCAGCGATAGAAGGGGCGGGCGGGAGGGATGGAGTTGACCTTTTGGAGGCTCATATTTGATTTTGATTGGCATTTCATTTTCGCGTTCCAGCGTTTTGTGGCCGCAAGAGTTCTTCACGTGCCGCTCACAAACTCATAGCTATCGTGATATGTACAGAGTCACGCACGTCGCCGTTTATTAGCTAGGGCACGCACGCAGCGCTTGGACCTCAAGCGGCGCCTGTGGGCGGGTCCGCAGTTCACTGGGATCCGGGGCCTCAAGGCCGGAAACATGGAATCCTGCAGGGCGTTGAAGGACATCAGAGCATGTGGGTGGGTAGGTGGGGGGGGTAGGGTAGGTGGGTTGTCGGGGGGGAAGGTTTTGGCGGGCGCTGCCGCCGCAGTTGAACAATAAGGTTAGAGGAGGTGAAGTGGGGAGCAGAGGGAGGGGCACCGTGCCAGCGGTGCGCCCGTCGGAGGCCGTAATTGATGGCAAGTCCGTCCCCGGTCCTAAGACGCGGACCGCGGTGGACCTGCGAGTGAGGTACAATTCTTGACGTGGATGTGTGGCTGAGGATCCGGGAAATAACACTCTGATGAACCCTGCCACTGTTTCCGTAACAGCTCAGATCTGATCCTCGTCTAGACGAAGGAACTGTCGCGCGCCGTCGTGAGGACGTGCCACAGGGGCGACAGTCTGATCACCGCGGGACCTTAGCGCTTGTAAATATATGACCTGTTTTGGCCGGGTGCTGACGCAATGCACGGAGGGGAGGCGTCTGGCTGCTCTGCGCCATGAGGAGCTGCTGGGTCTGCGAGTTGTTGTGTCTGCAACGGGTGAAGCGCCAGTACAGATACATGAAGCACAACATTGGAAGCTTGCTGCCTTCCACTCCCACTTAGCCAATCACACATTGCAATGGCGCGTGGCAGCGATGGCAGTATCTCCGCACACTTGGCGTCTATTTCTACATTCGTGCCGGCCACTCCTGTCCCCCCATGGGTGGCTCTTGGCCAAGAGCGCCTTCTTTGGAGCATCTTCTGCTCGCATAAACCTTGCCAGAATTGTCAGAAATCCAGGATGAAAAAGTACGGCTTGCCACACCCCTACAGCAGCCTGTGCTCACGCAATGGAAGCGAGCTTGTTATTTACGGTCGCGCTTCTCTGCGCAAAAACTTAACACAGAGAAGCGTCTATTTTACGGATATATTCCGTATTTTTGCAGCGCATTGGGCCACTCAGGCTACATGACGAAGTCTCACACAATGATCAGTCCTCCGCCCCCTCCAGCACACGGAACACAGTGTCCACCTCACCCTCGGCAACGGCAGCGACGCCGTCGAGCAGGAGCTCGTTTTCTGCCAGCTCTAGCACGCCCGGCTGCCGCTCCCCAGACTTACTGAATTTGTATATACTGTTCTTTACGTGCATGGGGCCTGGATTTAGGTATTCTCATGCATTTTACACATAAAACGATAAACTATATTCTTACCCATAATAACGTGAACGTGATCTGTGTGTTACGTCGTAAACAGCAAGTTGCTACATACGCAGCTAGGCTAGTTGCTGAGCTGCTTGTCTTTTAAGTCCATTTCCAAGCCCACAACGAGCCCCACAATCACCTTCTGCTTCAGAATGCTTTGGTTCACTAAAACACCCATGCGTACATGGGTTCGTAACCTAATACGGTACGGCGCATCATACCGTACTGTCAACCGATCAGTAAACCAATTTGGCATCGCCAACTGCCAGGCTTGTTATCTGCGCCATAAAGGTGCCGCGTGACGACCAACAACTTAGACGTCATGCTGGTGGATGGAAGCAAGGTGGAGGACGCTGTGAGGCGTTACAGACTGAGGCTCGTTATGGGAGGTTGTGAAATATCCCTAATTGCGGTGGAAATACCACTGTGGAACTTCGACTTGATTCTAGGGCTTCCATGGCTGGAAGAAATGGAGCCCGAAATCGATTGGATCACCCGCGAGTTGACTATAGGCCAAGACATCATACGACCAGTGACGGCTGCTACACTATACCAAACCTCACCACGGAAGATTCCACAAAAGCTGCGGACCAGTCAGAGCACCGACCAAGGAAGCTACAGGGAACCACGAACGCTGATTACGGGAATAGATTACTCGAGCTACCCGGAGGGTAACGAGGAAGGGAGCAACCACTATGGCTGTTAAGCGCCCCAGATGAATAGCGTTGAAGAGCCAAAAGGCGATGCCCCTTGCCAGGATGTTCTTGGCAACTCTGACGACTCGACGACTCGTTATACCGGCAGCGAATCCACTACGGGCTAGGAAGACCCAAACTATACTGAAGAGGGAGACCACAACAAACTGCGTGAGCCCACAATAACGGGCAAGCCATGGGAACGGAATCCCGAGGGTTGGGATGTCGTTCTGCCTCAACCGTACGACACGGGAAGCAAAGGGTGGTGTCTCGAGACAGCTGGAAAGAAGGTTGAAGGAAAAAATGACTTTGGTGACCGACAACTGCTTCACGTGGATGGTATTGAGGAGCTGGAGAACCAACCACCCCGTCAGAGTACAGTTGACGACCGTGATGACTTGACGACCTGCTGTACCCACCACAAAAGTACAACGAGCGAAATGACTGAGATGGGCGGGTTTGGTGATGATTCTAACGACTCGTTACTTGTGGAGGAAGCAAAGTGAACACCGCTTCCTCCAACAACCAAAACAACCACAGAAAATGAAGAACTGATTGCTATCAAGGAACTACAAAAGGTCAACAAGCGCGAGGTCTGGCTGGAAGCAAGCGACCCCCGAGCCATGGCACAAGACGTGACGACTGACTCGAGGAAATGTTGCACGGGGAAAAGGCTTTGCCAGAGCGTCATGCTACTGATACGACGGATTAGAATGATAGGGGCGGACGCGTCAACACAGGGTCAAGGCGACAGCCAGGGAGCTGCCACGTCCAACTCGCTGAGGCAGAAAACGGTGACAAAAAGTAGAGCAGAAGCGACTGCCGCACTTCCGCAAGCTGGCGCCCGACAGCGGAGGGCCCAGCTGTGGACCCGCGCCCTATTTACAGGGCTGATGGTGGTCCTATCCACCGCACTTCTGCCTGCCGCCAGAACGCCAAGCCGTCTGTCAGCCGCTCTGACGACCTGAAGCCCAACAACCCCGATGGACTCCCGAGCAACCACACTAACGGGACTGGACGGTTAGGCAGCGGTATACATGAGAATGCGGGAGAGCACTGAGGCATGCCAAGCGACCCTGGACCGGAGACGGTGCGCGGACACCATCATCCACCGGAAGCGGACAGCCCTGTCCGATGAAGCACCGGCGGAGAGACCGACGACTATCTGGAGGACCTGGTAGAGACAACCGCCCGAACAGTGAACCATGAGTCCAGCCGCCCAGGGAAGCGCTGGATACGGTCGGGAGTGGCCAAGCGGCTTTGGCGAGTCGAGGACGCCCCAGGCCGACCATACAGAACGCCCGAGGACGACCCGTGGGTAGGGATAATACAGCCGCACTGGGGAGGAGATTGGACGAGGCTCCCTATCCGTGCCACCAAGGGAACCGCCCTTGAGCGGGATGCCAACCGACTGGAGCCGCAGGACAGCGATTCGGAGGAAGATGACCCTTGGCGCCCGCATCCGTGGGCATGGCGCACACAGCCCAGCTGGGGCGGGGACTGGGCTACACCCTCCCAAGCAGCGGCCTGGCGACCAGCGACACGGGGAGCATCTACAGCTCACGAGGACGCTCGCTACTTGGGGGGGGGAAGGGTGTGAGGGCTGGGCCCTGGAACACTGTACATTACGGCCATGGGATATTGTATATTATAAGCGTTGGACATTGTACATTAAGCGCTCTTTAGAAACGCTGTATAG